AGACAGTCCTTGAGGACGTGAATAGAAAATATCACTAAAATATAAGAAATGACAAAATTAACATTCAGCAATAAATCATATCCGATGCAGAATTACCTTCATTTTTTATAAACTACATTGCAGTTTTAAAGCGAGACACTTCCACGCCTATCCTCAAACTTCGGCCGAATCTTAAGCAAAAACTACTTGCCTAAGACATTTTCGCGGTGGAGTCATAGACAAATTTAGCGAGTCAAAGACATAGGAAGATACCCACACATTAGTAATGACAAGTGGGGCTTTGGGAGATCATTCCCATTTATTATCAACCATCAATTGATCCGTTTTTCTGCAAATTTACTTTTATTTTCTATTCGAAAATATATATGGCGTCGCGCAGCTTCACAGCTGATGCAATGACAACAAACCTATGGCTGTCAAGTTCTAATTGAATTGTATAAAATGTGTAATACTATTGTCATATAGACGCAAGATTTGTTGCAGTATGTAGTTTTAACATATTACTGCCATCAATAATCTTTATAGATGTAAATGTTTATTCTATTAACAGCATTAACTTTGAGATGTGGCACGTGGCAAATCATACTGTTTTTTGGCTAAGTCTAAGACATTTCGTGAATACCACCCCCTGCTTCATATTTTTTTTATTATTATTTCTTACTAGTAGTTTACTTCACATGTATCTTCAAAAATGGTATCACTGCATAAATTATTAGACAAACTTTACTTATATAATTATCATAAGAGCTCCTCTATGCAAAAGGTGTTGGGGGAAGGCGAACATTGATCTTTCTACATATATGCTGAACAGACAGTGTGTCATGAGCGATAAAATACGTAATAGACGTTTTACAATATTGCATTTCGACGTTGGCATCATCTATTTTAATTATATATATACACACACGTGTTCTCTGCGTGCGTACGTGCGTGCGTGTGTGCGTGTGTGTGTGTGTGTGTGTGTGTGTGTGTGTGTGTGTGTGTGCAAACATATATACATACATATGTATGTATATATTTCTGTATACATATATACATATATATGTTTCTGTATATATATATGTATGTATATATGTACATATACATATATAGCCACATTCATATTCATACATATATGTAAATGTATATATTTGTATACATATACATATTTATGTACATATATGTACAGATATACATACACATATGTATGTATATATATATACATGTGTGTGTGTCCGTATGTATATATATATATGAAAGAGAGCGATAGAGAATGGAAAACAGAGAGAGAGAGGGGGGCATTGTTGTGTACAATCATTTACCGCACCCTTCCCTTCGTATGTAAAAGAACTACAGAAACTGGTGTAAATAACAACGTACCACTACACTTTTCTCTCAGCCCTTCAACCCTTTCTATACAAAATAGAAACAAACAGAGAGTAACATATTGCATAATGTACCAGTACAATAACCAGAAACTCCTTTCAGTTTTGAGAGGGATTGATCATTGCAATTGTTAACTGGTGTTGAACGATTAGCGAGTGTGAAAGATAGACAGGGAGAGGGAGAGGGAGATAGAAAGAGAGAGAGGGAGGGAGGGACACACACACACACACACACACACACACACACACACACACACACACACACACACACACACACACACACACAAACTCGTTCATTCACAACAAGTAACACGTATCCACTGTCTGAGTCGACTATGTAATGTCGATTTGTTTACTTTTATGTAATATTAATTTACAGATATATATTCCATTACTATTATTATTACTATTAATTATTATTATTATTATTATTACTATTATGATTACTTATTACTATTTAATTATTATTATCAGTATCATTATTAATACTTGTACTATTATCACTATAATTATTATCTTTATACTCCCTGCACGCAATATATTCCGTGTTGTTAAGATCACTAGAGTTTATAGATTGTGTAAATAAAAGACACAAAGCCTTCAACACAGGATACACGTTTTAGTAAGTTACCAGAATGAAATCTCTTGGCCAGGTTTTATTTCTATTACTATTACAAATCTGTTATTTTATTATCATTATTGCTCTTACTTTTATTATTATTATTATTATTATCATTTTCATAATTATTATTATCATTATTATTATTATCAGTATAATTACTATCATTATTATTATTATTATCATTATTAGTATTATTATTACTACTACTATTATTATTATTATTATCATCGTTAATATTATCACTATATTTTTTTTATTATCATCGTTATTAGTATTAATAGTAATAGTATTACGATTATCATTATTAGTATTATTATTTAGTCCGTCCAGGCCTGGCCGATTTCAGAGTGAAACTATATCCACAGTCGTGTTAAGTGTGTTAAGATTCCTCATCAGCAGAAGACAAAATTAGTTAGGATGTTTGAATATTAATGTTCAATCAATTATCCTATTCTATGTTATTTGTATGAATATTCTTTGCATGTGTATTTACAATAGGAGGATGAATTACAATTTTGTGGATAACAGTATCATGTAAACAGACTTTCAATTGACAATTAAATATCAGAAATAAGACAATATACAAAAAATACATAAGGAAATGACAAACACGAGTCAGGGAAGTATTTATAGTGTGTGAGGGAGAGGGGCTTAAGGGAAAATTGGCCAGATTGTGGATTTCCTATATAGGATAAAAGAGTGCAACTATAAAATTGGTTTTATTATGAAGAAGAATCAGCAAGTGTGACTTGGGGTGGGGCGCGGAGGGAGCAATTGCCCAGGCAAAGAAATTCCTTTATATATATTGATATATATATAAATACACATAAATATATACATATGTATACAAACACACACACACACACACACATATATATATATATATATATATATATGTAAATATATACATATATGTGTATATATATATATATATATATATATATATATGTATATGTATATATCTATACATACATATATACTAATTATAGAATTGGCTTTATTATGACGAAAAATCAATAAGTGTGTCCTCGAGGGGGTGAGGGCGGTGGAGCAGTTACTCAGGCTAAGGAATTCCTTTGTAAAAACAACAAATTTTGGGCCAGAAAATATAAAGTCAGTGTGCCCCCATCTATTTCAAGACAATTTTTTTTTTTTTTTTTGTGAACAATGTTAATCTAGAAAGTATAACTATGAAGGGATATGATAAAACATGATGGTGCCTAAATTGTAGATAAGGTAACATTTACTAACATGTAATATAAGATTTTTTCTGAAAGCTAATATTCTTACGAAAAAATACTGTTTACCATTATATTAAGTTAATTTATATATTTCTCTTATTATTATTACTTTTCTTGTTCAGGGGCCGCTAAAATTGTTCTATTTCCAGCCTGACAATAGCAAAAGAAAGATTTAGCGTTCTAACCAAATGTAATAATATAGTTACACTAAATTATGATAGCGATATATATATATACATGGGGTAGATGGGGCTCCTTAGCCTTGGTCGGCAGTCCATCTAGGAGAGAGTGAACTCCAAATTCAAACCTCCGCTGCCTGGTGGGTGCATCCGACATAGGAAAGGGCTTCGGGAGTAATCCCTGAGGAAAAATCCGGAGTCGGAGCCAGTAAGGCAGTTCGTCGTTGTCTTCAACGTCATTCTGGCAGCTCCTGCGACGTTGTAGTGAACTAGTACCAGAAAACGCGATCATCAAGGGGGGTCCCAAGCAATTCGTGGCAGGGCTGGATGCCTGGACTCTTCCCTTGTCACCACCAGGGACCACCACCGTGGACAACCCCCCCCCCCCCCATGGACGTTACAACGAAGATTTATTTTATTCCTTTTAATAACATGAATATATATACTTTGTTTGCTTTTATTCCTCGTCATTAGTGCCCTAAATTGTACATGGAGAGATGTTTTTATTTTATTATATTATAAGCCTCCAGAACCTCAATCTCTTAATTGCTTGTTCCCGCCTCTGAGACGATGACAGAGGTATGGGAGATAGACAAGAGAGTCACGCTCGCACGGCCCGGGCGACAGGTACTCTCTCTCTCCCAATCCACGGGTTAATTGGCTAAACCAGGGTTATTCTAGCAGTAAGCCAGAGATCCTTTGCGGAAGACTGCTTGCTTAGGATAACCCTTGCTGCAGGCATAGAGAGAGGCCGTAGTCGAGCCTTGTTTTTTTGTACTTGTACTTATGGTGTTTTATGGTGAGAACGGAGGATTCGAGGCACAACCTGTTGTAAGATAAGTTATGTGTGCACCAGTAGTATATGCTGGCTTTGTTATATTTTTATCGTTTATGTATATATATCCAAGCTCTTTTATTAAATATTAGTTTTATGTGTTTGTTTATTTCTCATTGTAGCAGTGTTCTTTTTAGCGAGGAGTTGTGCCCAGGCTCCTCTTTGATTTTCCACACGGGGAGTGTTAAATTTGCGTAGTACAAGTTGACCCTATTGTGTACATAACGTAACCTTAGGGAACCAAAAGGGTTCGATATATATATTGATGTACGGAAATTTCATGAATGATATTTATCCCAAACCCACCGTGCCTTTGGAGAGTGCTTACCGCTCGGCCCGCTCCGTCGGCATTTCTCACTAAATGTAAATTAACCAGTGAATAGAGTAAGTGTCGAAGTCTGACACTATAATCTAGCCTTACTGGTCACTACAACATCATTGGAACCAAGCATACTGGCCTCTGCCTTTCTATTGGACCATTTCAGCAACGTTGAGAGAGGGGACCTGCTGCATGGGGTAACAGCTTCTCCCCCATATCAACCTACCCAGGCTTTGCACACTGGAGAGGATATTCCAGTTTCGCTTCAGAGCGTCGGCACAACACGGGAAGCAGCAGCCTACCGGTTATAAGTCCTCGCTCGATTGGCGGAGAACCAGACGCCAGAGGCTGCTTCCAACGGTGGGAGAGGTCATGCGCCCCATTGGGCAGCTATCGGGCAACGCCTGCTGAAACTCTGCTGCCACCACGGTTTCTGCAACATGAACACTTTTTCAACACAACACAAAGTCTCCTGGAAACATCCAAGATCCAAGCATGACCTCAACCTTAACCTTGCCCTCGATCGGTGGGAGCACTTCAGAGATACTGTGTACAACGCTGCCATGACCACCCTTGGCAAGAAGACCCGCAAGTTAGTAGATTGGCTTGAGGCTCACTCAGAAGCAGACAGCCTACAAAGCCTTCCCCAGCGAACGCAATCAGCAGTGTGCCAAGTGATGAGCCAATGACTACTGGCTTCAGCTCTGCTCCCAGATACAGCTGGCAGCAGACACGGGCAACATCAAGGGCATATACGATGGTATCAAGTAGGCCCTGGGCCCAACACAGATGAAAATTACCCTCTTGAAGTCTGCCACAGGGGAGGTAATCCAGGACCGGACACAACAGATGGAGCACTGGGTAGAGCACTACTCTGAGCTGTACGCCAGGGAGAACATAGTCACAGCAGACGCCCTGAACGCCATCGAGTGTTTGCCAATGCTGGAGGAGCTGGATGCAGAACCAACCTTCGATGAACTCAGCAAAGCACTGGACTCCCTTGCCACCGGAAAAGCCCCCGGGAAGGACGGCAAACCTGCCGAGGTTTCACAATGCTACATGAAATCCTCTGTCTGTGCTGGAGAGAAGGGGAAGTGCCACAGGATATGAGACGCAAACATTGTCATCCTATATAAAAACAAAGGTGACAGGAGCGTCTGCAACAACTACCATGGAATCTCTCTCCTCTGCATCATTGGGAAGCTGGTCACTCACATTACCCTCAATAGGCTCCCAGTTCTAGCAGTCTACCCCAGATCACAGTGCGGGTTCAGAGCCAACAGGTCTACTACCATGGACATGGTGTTCTCGATCAGGCAACTGCAGGAGAAATGCAGAGAACAGAGGCAACCTCTCTTTGTAGCCTTCATCGATCTGACGAAGGCCTTCGATCTCGTCAGCAGAGAAGGCTTCTTCAAAATTCTCCCCAAGATTGGATGTTTACCCAGGCTACTCGACAGAGCCTGTGTCCTCAACACTCTCCTATACGGCAGCGAATCCTGGACCCTGCGAGCCCAGCAGGAAAGGAAGCTGATTGCATTCCACATGCGCTGTCTCTGCCGCATCCTGCACATCACCTGGCAGGACAAGATCACAAACAACAGCATCCTGGAGAGAGCCGGAATCACCAGCATGTACACACTGTTGAAGCAGAGATGCATGCGCTGGCTGGGGCATGTGGTTTGCATGGACAATGGCAAGATCCCTAAAAATCTCTACGGTGAGCTGGTACAAGGCAAACGGCCAACAGGCAGACCCTAACTACGTTACAAAGACGGCTGCAAGAGGGACTTGAAGGCGATGGATATTGACCTCATTACGTGGGAAGCCACAGCCTCAGATCGGGCGGCCTGGAGACCAACTGAGCAGAAAGGTCAGTCCAGTTTCGAACAGTCACTTGTGCAACAGGCCAAGGCATAACGACAGAGGGGAAAGGCTCGTGGCCAGGCAGAACGACCGGCAACGGCCTTCACCTGTGCCAAGTGTGGAAGAAATTACCGCTCCCGCATCGGACCCCTCTAACGGAAGCCGCCTTGACGCGGTGCGGGGGGGCTTGAGGTCCCAATGATTTGGTGAGCCAGACCAGAGGCTACCCATACTGGAGGGGTCACCTGTGAGAGATGAGACAAAATGGCTTCCTGGTGCAGCAGGGCCTATGAGAGGCGATGGTGCACCATCTTGGACCAGGGAGAACTCTCCCACATGTGTCTGCCGTGCATGGCGGCCCGTATTACCAGGACACAGGAATCCTTGAGGTTGAGCGATGCTGCACGCTGCACCCTGCCGCTAGCAACACACCTCTTTGGTCCTCTGTTCTGGTTAGACGGGTGGCTTGATCAAGGCCCGGTCAAGTCAATCGGCTGATCAATATGGCTAGGGTCAAGCAGGCACTGTCCAATTGGTAGCGCAAAGGTCCCGCGACTACCATCAGCATTGTAATAGTGACTGCGTATATTTCCTCACTACGCCTGTGGCTGTTGGAAAAATTTGAGCCCCAACTATAGCTTTTCCTCGTTGAACTCCATGGTGGGGGGGGGGGTGAGGAAATAAAGATTTACAAATTTACAATGAACCTGCTCTCCCTGACGACCTTCGCAATCCCCTGGCCAATCCCTCTGGAACATCACATATTGTCACTCTGAAACCTTACTAGATTCCAAAGGGCAAGAATCGGAATCATAATGGTTCCCGAGCTCCCAAGCCAGGTAAAAACTAGTAGTAAAGACCATCCATGGTGTATCTATCATGGATCTTGATATTTTTGAAGTACATCAGAAGATAGTTGCGGTATATCAACAGGGGCCCCTTCTGCTAGACAGAATGCTCCTGAACTAAAGGCTCAGGTCCGTCCTTTGCCCAAGCAAAGAAATCCTGAGCCTGTCCAAGGGAAGCTTGTGGAAACTAGTTCCACAGGTAAACAACCCATCAAAAGGTATTCCCAAGATGCTGGAAAGGGACAGCCTAAAGGTGTAGGGCGGACCTTAACCACAGGTGCTGCCAAACACCTTATGAAGTAGCTTGTCAATCTGAAGAACTGGATACCCTAATCCAATGGTATTGTCAGGGAATTCATGCAAAATGGTAAGAACTGCAACATCTGATAGCTTCTTGTAATCCAGTTTGTGTATGCCTACAAGAGATTATGACCAGGGAAAATCGTCCAATTTCCCTCAGAGAATTCCAAGTTCAAGCCTATTATGGGACCTTTGATAACAGACCTCATGGAGGAGTAGTATTGAAGGTACGTCAGGATATTCCCTTCCAGGCCATCCACCTGCAGACAACACTGCAGATGAAGGCTGTGAGAATAGGCTTGACACGACCTTACACTGTTGCATCCATCTACCTCCTTCCACATAATCTCAACATAGATGATTTGGAAGATTTACTTGGGCAGTTACCTCATCCATTCCTACTCTGGGGAGACACTTTGTGTAACCCTTAAGGAAAGGCCTTGGAGGCCTTGTTCTCAAGAGTAGATGCAGTTCTACTGGACAGTGATGCACCCACACATTTCCAAATTCAATCTGGGACATTCTCCAATATTGACTTGTCAGTTGGTTCACCTAATTCACAGTTGAATTTCACTTGGCAGGTCATGGAAGACTTACATGGAAGTGACCACTTTCCAATACTTTTAGAGGAGGTAAATGGTATTCCAGCCAATGGAGTTCAGAGATGGCGACTTGAACTTGCATACTGGAATCTTTTTAGATCAACTGCAGTATTGCAAGGATCTGTGAATGATTCCCAGTGTGTTCAAGATGCTGTTAATCACTTCACATCGCGGATTCACCTTGAAGCAGAAGCATCAAATTCCCAGAAGTAATGGGCAGTACCATCGACCTCCAGTACCATGGTGGTCTGATGAATGCCAACAAGCTGTCAGAGCAAGAAAAGTTGCATTAAGGCAGTTGAAACGACACCCAAACGATGTAACCTTAATCCAGTACAAAAAGACCCGAGCCAAGGCCAGGCGAGTCCTTAAGGAGGCTGGACGGACATCGTGGAGGCAGCATGTCTCCTTGATTAACTCTGGGGCCCCTTTAGCATGGGTATGGGACAAGCTGCGTAGGATCGCTGGAAAGAGCACATCCATATCACCACCTGCTCTGACAATAGATGGCATAATCCTCACAGACAAAACAGATGTTGCAAATGAATTGGCAAAGTCCATGGCACAGATCTCTGGAGCATGTTACACTGCCTGATTCTCCACTCTTCGAACTTAACAGGAACAACAAGCAGTGTCGTTCTCCAGTAGCACGGCAGCAGAACTGCCATACAACTTGCCATTTTTGCGCAAGGAGATGGACTCTGCTTTGCAACTCTGCCATAAGACTGCTCCAGGAAGTGACGATATTCCATACCAAATGATATCTCACTTACCGGAGAGCTCCCAAACATTCCTGTTGGATCTATTCAATAGGATCTATAGGGAGGGCCCAGTGCCATCCACATGGAAAGAAGCTATAATCATTCCTGTCCCTGAGGAGCATTGCCAAACTTCATATAAAGCTTCCTTACTAACAGGAAGTTTAGAGTGAGGGTGGGAAACAGCTTCTCTAACCTGGAAGATCAGCTGGAAGGGGTCCCACAAAGGAGCATCTTAAGTGTGACCTTGTTTGCCATTGCTATAAATGATATTGTTAAAGTCGTTCCAAGCGCTGTCTCATGTAGTCTGTATGTGGATAACTTTACACTGTACTGCTCAGGAAGAAGCTTGCAGGATGTGCAAGGACACATGCAGACTGCAATAAATCAGGTTGTGCAATGGGCAACATACCATGGGTTTAGATTTTCTCCAAGCAAGACCATGGCTATGCATTTCCAGAAACGAGGAAAGTTCCACCCCTCCCTCTATTTAGGAGCAAACCCATTGTATTTTGTCCAACAGATAAAGTACTTGGGTCTAATTTTTGACTCAAGGCTTACAAGGGTGCCTCACATTAAACAGTTAAAGGTGAAATCTACAAAAGCGCTTAGTATTTTGCGGGTTCTTTCACACCTATCTTGGAGTGTAGACCGCACAACGCTTCTGCGACTTTACCAAGCATTTATTCGTAGTGAACTTGACTATGGATGTGAAGCTTATTCATCTGCAACTCCCTCTGTTCTCCGAATGTTGGACTCGGTTCGTAATGAAGCTCTGAGATTTTGTATAGGCTTTCAGGTCTTCACCTGTGGAGTCCCTGTATGCTGAGAGTGGAGAATCATCTCTTTCATTACATCGGGACTACAGGAACCTGATTTACTACACGAGACTACAAAGCATTCCAGGATCTCCTACATCCAGATTGGTTTTCAACCCCCTTGAGGATAGCCGATCCTATGGTAGGAGAATGAGGAATCTTGTGGAAGATCTTAATTTAAATCTCACAAAGGTTCTAGCTGTTGGAACTTCCCAAGTCCCCCCTTGGACTAATCAAGGCGAGCTTGATTTGGTCGGAATTGGGAAAGGGGAGAGATCCGAAGCAGAAGTCAGAGAGATATTTCTTCAACACACTTCTAAGTACCAGGGATCATATGTAATATATACAGATGGTTCGAAATTTGTAAATGTGTGGGCTTTGCAGCAGTGAGCAGAAGGAAGACTGCATCTGGCAGTCTTTCTCGAGTCACATGCCATCCTTGCAGCAGTCAAGATGAGTAGAGATTGATTGATTATTTAAAACTATCTGCCGCGTCAACAGAGATCTTACGAACAATTCCATTACAATATATTGTGACTCTCGTAGTGCCTTGCAAGCAATCAAGAGCTTAAACTCATCACATCCAGTGGTGAGGGAGGTTCAAGATTGGCTTGCATTTATGTCAGCACGTAAGAAGATAACTCTATGTTGGGTGCCAGCACATGTTGGTATCAGTGGGAATGAGCGAGCTGATCAGAAGGCCAAGGCAGCTGCCGCTCAGCCTTGTGATGCTCGTTTCCCTCTCCCACACACCGACTTGAAACCCAGCATCAGAAGTTGTCTTCGTGATAAACGGAGGGAACAATGGAGGCATACCTCAAGAAATAAACTACGAGAGATTAGAGATGACATTGTCAGTTGGGTGACCAGCATCCATCGCAACCGACAAGTGGAAGTTGTATTAACAAGGCTGAGGATCGGGCACACAAGAATGACTCATGGGCCGATGATGGCTAAAAGTGAAGCACGCTGTGATAAATGCTAAGAGCCATTAACGGTCGCACATCATACCAAAGACGAAGGTACTTGTCTCCCCCATATACATTGAAAAATGTATTGGGGGAGGATTGTGACATAGAAGGTCTTATTAGTTTCCTTAGGGAACCTAATATTTTCAATAAAATTTAATTGTGCATAATGTTTATGCAATAGTTTTTAGACATTTAGAGCATAATGTTTATGCTTTGATTTTTTTACATAATATTTATTGTTATTTATAACATATTGATAGATTTTTTACGTTTTAAATATTTTAATATTTCAGTCTAATAAGGTGTTCGCCGCTAATGACCTTAGCTGTTCACGCAACATATAATTTTAGATAATCAATCAATCAATCCCGCATCGGACTTTCCAGTCATACCCAACGCTGCTCAAGACTATCCACCCAGAGCGAAACTCCATAGTCTCCCGAGACTGACGGGTGCTTACATTCATACACATAATCTGCCATACTCAGACATATATATGTATATATATATATATAAACATATATATACATATGTGTGTGTATATATATACATACACACATATACGTGTGTGTGTGTGTGTTTCTACTGTAAGCATGGC